GAGCACTGAGGATCATCTCATTCCAAGCCCTGCCCTAGCAGGGATGTCATTCATTAGAGGTTGCTTCTGGCAATAATCCAACCTGGCCTTGAACACTTTCGGATGTGGGCTGTCCACAACTTCTCTGGACAAGGTGTTTCAATGCTTCACCATTCTCTTCTTCTTCCTAACATCTAAACTAAACTAGCTTTTTATCAGTTTAAAACCATTAGCCCTTGTCCTGTCACTATTTGCCCATATAAAAAGTCCCAATCTCTCCTCTTTATAAAGCCTCTTGAGGTACTGGATGATCTCTGCGAAGCATTCCTTTCTCCAGGCTGAGCAACCATAGCTCTTCAAGTTTGTCCAGGTCAAGAAGGCGTGGATGGGGAACTCCTGGGCAACCACAGCTAGAGAGAGGAGTGAGAATATGTGACAGCAACAGCTCTGCAGACAGCAGGGACAGAAGAAAGGGAAGGAGGTGCTCCAGGCACAGAGAGAGATTCCCCTGCAGCCCGTGGTGCAGATCATGGCGAGGCAGTTGTGTCTCTGCAGCCCATGGAGATCCATGGTGGAGCAGAAATCCACCTACAGCCTGTGGAGGAGCCCACACTGGAGCACGTGGATGCCTGAAGCAGGTTGTGATCCCGTGGGAAGCCTGCACTGGAGCAGGCTTCTGGCAGGACTTCTGACCCTATTTCTTGCTCTGTAATGTATCAGAATCCTTCTTACTTGTCTTTGTAACTAAAATATTTCTCTTAGCCTCAATTACCTCTCCCTCTGATTGCAGAAATCCTCACGTATTTCATTTATTCTCCTTACTGCTCTTCAATCAGCTGAAATTACCTGGTACAGTGACCTCTGCACTGCTTCTTTCAAATATATTGAGAAACATGGCTTTGAATCCAGAGATATCAAGGGACACACGAACTGAGGATAATTAGGCAAGGAAGAATGTAGTGATGACTTCTGCAGTTGAAGAAAGTAAAGTTAAAACCTATTGCAAATCCAAAGTGGATAATGAGCAGCTACAAACAATGGGTAACTCATCACAATCACTTTTCAGCAGTTTTTATCAGTAACCACACATTGAGTCATTCTGATGCAGAGAGAGAGAGATGTTCTGTTCTCTGATGAAATCTTAAAATTTATTTTCTGGTTTGACAGAGAATCCTGTCTCTTAAATAACTAAAATGTCTTACAGTTGGCCCAGAAATTTCATTTAAGGATTAGTGAACCCTGTTTTGCCTATCATGAGTAATTTACCTCAATTTTGTCCACTCAGAAGTGGTTTTATCTTAACAGAAATGAAAGCAAAAAGTTCCACTTTGGTCACTTAAGAGAATCTATTCAGTGAGTAATCTTGACAGGAGCAGTGGCTTAGTACTGAGCATTTTAAATCCAAATTAAGCCTCGCTCTTTCTTCTCATTATCATTTTTAGCTTATATCTCCAGCTCAGGAAAACTTTCATGAATATGCTGCTAATATTTATAATTGCATTAGTATTCTAATATTCCATCAAAATAATTTCAGATGGAAATACATTGAACCACTTTGCAATATTTTCTAAGCTTTACTTCACTACGGAGGAAACTTCATTTATTAAGGAGGCTGTGACATCTGTAACAATACCATTATGTTTCAAAAGAATGTTTCTTCATCTTTGGTTCATATTTATGTTCTTCTCCTTAACTTTTTTTTTTAATGATGGTTGCTTGTGAGTGTGTGCAAAGCAGGCTTAGTGACAAGATTATGCTGCATGGTTTGCATGAAATATTTTGCTGAAGAATCTCTCTGGTTCCTTCCTGCATTCAGAGCACATTACAGCACCTTCTGTAACTGCAGTGAGGAGTTGTCCCACTTTTGTGGGGGTTTGGCTCTATGAAAAATCAGCTGTTGTATCAACTTATCAGGAGAGATCGGGGCCATATGCTACACTAGTGCAAACTAGGAGGTGTGAGCTGTTTGAAAATTTAAAAATATGGCATTATCTGCTTTTCCCAAAGCATTCTGTACTCTGAGTAAATTGATCAGTTATTTCTAAACCAAATGTTTCAGGTAAGACGCAAAAATGTAAAAATCATATCTATGAAAGTAACTGCAACAATTTAGAAATATTGAAGAAAAATGAATGTGATATTTTCATAATCTAACGTTTTACAAAATTAAATTATAATAAATGTAGTCATTTTTCTATATGAAAATTCAAAAGATTTCCAACTAAAATTTCCTTTAAATTTGTATCTTTATTACTGGTACTATTCATCACATTTTTTGATAGAGTCAAGAAATGTAAGTGAACAATCAAAAAAATGGAATGAGAAGAAAATACATTTTTTCCCAAATGTATCTCAATAAACATAATGGAAACTTCATTTTGTGCTTTGCACTCATTATTTTGTAGCCACAGGCATTATTTTCAAGTCATTAGCTTCATTAAACTAACTTTGCTTATGATTAGCTCTGTAAGTACAGTTATATCGTATATACAAAGATCTGGAACTTTTTTCTAAAGCATGAAACGTATTAAAAAAAATAATTTTCATTCATTGAATGGTAGTTTTTCAAGGAGCGAACTTTTAAATGGTTTTAGTCGGTGGTAAGAGATGGAAAGACTGTCCCCTTGTGGATAGCAATATGAGGAAAAGTGATACTGTAACTCACAGAGAGCAGCGGTAACCCCGGGTATGTGGAGCCTCATTAGGAATTTGGCTGGGATCCTGCCTTGCGCATGGCTCATAAATCAACACTCGAATGTACAAAATGCTATGGAGAGCCTTTTTATTTAAATTGGTTGGCCTAACAGACAGCAGAGGGTAAAGACTGAGCTAATGTAGCATCCTTGTTAACACCATCAGCCCAGACTAACACGTAAATCTAACTGCTGCAGGCAGCTGCAGTATTGCCTGCATCTGAAGAAACCTATTTTGAGGACAACCTCAGAGCAGACAATGGAGAAGGCTCCACAGAACAGACCAAGCCCTAAGGTGTATCTGTAAAGCAGTGTGCTACCACATGCATGCATCTGTCCGACTTGTGCTACAGCACCCATCACAGGGCACAGCAACACTGTCCTGGCTCCAGCAGCCACACTCACAGAGGGACCAGAGCAGGATTGACACACAACTGGCTGGGGACACTCGTCTGTGCCTGCTGATGTTACAGTATCTGTGCTGGAGTTTCCCCATACACATCATCACCTCTGACCCATGAGAAATACCAGAAGATGCCAACATCCCATCTTCCTTCAAATCTGAAATAAACAATGGTAACTTCAAATTTCTGCATGGGGAAGCAGAACTTCATGGGGCTGCTGAAATAGCAGGGGATCTTTCTCATAGGAAGTGTTCTGATTTATGAAATCTAGTCCTTCCCTATTGCAAGCAGTTACAGCCCCCCTAACATGTTCTTCTCATTTTACTTTTATGAAGAATTTTCTCTCAATTATCTCACTTACAAGAATTTCCTGAAATATAATTAGAACTCTCAAAAATTTTGGCTTAGCCGTATTCATGGTCAGTGTATATCTATCCATTCACTATATTATTCTTTATTTTATGGAGCTTTTTCGGCCTCCTTTTAGTTGAATCTCTGGTAAAGAGTAACCATATTCCCTCCTAGCCTTTATTTTGTTGAACTAAGCAAGCCACATTCCTGCTGCTTTATTGTACAGGCTAGGCTCCCAAAACACCCTCATAATGTGATGTGTCACGTGTAAGTGTGTTGTGGGCTCAACTTTTCCCACCAACAATTGCTCAAGAATGTATAAGACTCATCGATACACAACCTTACTGTGTGCCTAATGGAAACACTTTAACTGATGCCTTCTTTTCTAGAGTTGGGATTTTTACACACTCACATCTCAGAGGTCACTCCTAAAAAGCCCACCAAACTCAGTAGGTGGTTTCATCTGTTGTTGCTTACTCATTATTTCTCAGCTTGCAGCAGAAATTCTCATTTTTCCATCAATGAAGGAAATTGCACTGACTGAGAAACAGGTTGATGACATCCTTTGGAGATTTTCTACCACAAAGTCCTAAAGGTTACCAAGTCTGATACTGGCAAGCTCAGGTGCAGGTTGGTGTGAGGGGTGAAGGGGACAAAAGCCTGAAATAATACTCGGGCTTTGATAAGAGGACATTTGTGGAATCAGCATCCCTGGAGGTATTTAAGAGGTGTCTGGATCTGGCCATTTAGTGGTTTTGGGGTTACAGTGGCAGTGCTGGGTTGATGATAGGACTGGATGATACCAAAGAGCTCTTCCAGCCTTGATGGTCCTGATTCTGTAATTCTGAATCATGCTAGGTGGAGCTCACTGAGTCATAAATTGTCCTCCACAAAAAAAGCGAGTGTGTCACACGTACAGCTCTAATACATAAACTCATCAAGTTGTTGCTCCAAGGGTTGAAGGTGACAATGTAAAATCCCATGGGAATTGGCAGGCCTAGATAGACACAAGTATTTGCAAACGTACATTTGCACTTTTCATTCAAATGCATCCTGTTCCTAAATTTATGACACTGGATGTGTTCCATGTGAATGCTGGAAAATGGCCATGGGCTTTATAATCTGGACAATGTGGGATTCTGGCAAAAACACCCAGACATACCTGCAGCAAGCCTACACTGTAGATACAGGTGGTTTTTGCTTCGGTTTGGTTTTTTGGTTTGTTTTTTTTTTTTCTGTGTCACAGGTCACTTTGACTGTCAGATGACAACAAATTAAAAGTGAAAAAGAGGAAATTCTTAAAACCTGTTTCCTCTGCATCTGTTTTAATGCTGGGAAGCAATGCGAAACCAGACTTTATTTCTGTACTTCACGGGGGAAGCGTCATGGGGGTTGTGAAAGTTCCCCGCTTCCTCCCCGGTGATGAAACTTCTAGAAAAAAAAAAAAAGTGTATATTTGCATGATCCCATCCGGCGGGCTCGGGACAGCGGCTGGCGCGGCGCTGAGGAGGCTCCGGGCCCGCTCCCGCCCCGCCCCGGCGCGGCCCGGCCCGGCCGGCACTCGGCGCCCGCCATGGCGGGGCTGGGGCCGGGGCCGGGCGGCGCGGCCGAGCTGCGGCCGCTGCTGGTGAAAATCGTGATGGCCGGAGAGTCCTGCGTGGGGAAGACCTCCATCGTGCGCAGGTACACGGAGCCCGGCTCGCCTCCCGACGGCTCTCCCGCCACTTCGTATATGGCCACGATCGGTGAGTGCCCGCCCGCCCGGTGCGCCTCGGCCCGCCTCGCTGCCGCCCCTCGCCCTCCCTTCCCCGGTGCCCGCGGCTCACACACGGCCGGACCGGCGCTGTCAGAGCGGCACTGCCGGGCTGGGAGTGTCAAACCTCCTGTGTGTGCAGCCGCTTCCAGCACCTTAAACCTTTGCCGGGTGTCAGGACACCTGTCACACTGGCTCCAGCAAAGTGCTGTCTTCTTACACTGTCCTTGCTGTTCGCCTGGGGAATCTACACCTGATGTAAACTTGTGAAATCTTGTTTCCCACGGTTTCTTATTGCCCACTGGGGCCCTGCTGCTGTACAGCGGTGCAGGTGCAGAGAATGCAGTACAGAGCCCCAGATCAGCCAGGTTGGAAATGACCTCTGAGATCTAAGTCCGACCTGTGGCCAAACACTGCCATGTCAGATAGACCAGTCACTGAGTGCCTTGTCCAGTCTTAACACCTCCAGGGTGACTCCACCACCTCCCTGGCAGCCTTGGCAGCCCATGCCAATGTATAATCGGGCTTCCTGGGAAGAAATTCTTTCTAATGTCCAACCTAAACCTTCCCTGGCACAGCTTGAGGCTAATTTCTCTTGTCATGTCACTTGTTGCCTGAGAGAAGAGGCCGATCGTCACCTGGCTACAGCCTGCTTTCAGGTACCGACCTCAAAGAGTTGTCAGATGTCAGTAAAACGCCCAGTTCATCAATATTTTGGACTAAAAAGGTCTTTAACTTTATAATTTTAATGGTATAAAGCTGTCTTCTACTGTAGTTAGCGGTGTGCATGATGATTAAAGCAGAGCTGCTGCTATGATGGAAATAATTAACCCTGCCAGACCATGTCAGTTGGCACCACAGGCTGCAGCTGGTGAGTGATGGGGAGCTCCCACTGCCTTGGCTCTCCCAGGCCCACAGTGCCATGGGGGAATGGCAGGATGACTGTCCACACACTGAAAACCTTGTCTCCAGCATGAGAATGTGCTTTGTGAGTACAGTGGTTTGATTTGCTGTGGACAATCTCAGAAATTCTCATTGCGAAATTTTCGTTTTTAAGAGTTTGTGTGTAAAAATATTTTCTCTTTGATTTGATTTTG